TAATTGCCCCTGCAAGGATCTCATGTTCCATCCTCACAGAAACCACAGTCCTTCCACGATTTGATGTGTGACACCAAGCGCTTTATAATGAGCCTCGACTTTCAGGGTCCGCGTTTCAAGCGCACAGGGGCTGGGTGCGTGCTCTTCTTCCAGGACCGTAATCTAGAGTCTCTAAGTAAGTAACACTTTAAGTTCGCTTTGCTAATTTGATAAGTACATATGTATCCATTTGAGCTAATTTATATCTGTAAACCGAAAACTCGTTGGTTTTTGATGGCAAAAGTGAGCCTTTCCAGATTTAGACTAAAAATTGATATGGTTTTTTATTATGCTCATTTTATGTACATTATACTTCATGGAAGCTGTATGACGTAGGGCCAATATCTTGATTCCCTGAGTTTTGCACAATTGCTTCACCCTGATAAAGTTTAGCGCGAGGCATGCTAATCAAGGATCGAGGAACCATGATACTTAAGCACTTACGTCAAGCTAAATGCCAGAATTTCATAACATAAGACGGAGATGTGACGTCATGAGAATACGATTGCAAACTTCAAGGCAGTTTCATCAGTCAAGACAAATCAGGTTATATGCAGTTGAAATAGTTAAGATACATACAGTAAGAAGCTAAGATTAATGTTGAAAAAGAAACAAGAAGCTTATTCACGAAATATGCAGTAGGCCTAGGGTAGCAAGCCTTGAACTTATTCACGTAAGTCTGCCTACTATTTGATTCATTTTTATGGCCCTGCTCGAATTAGACAATGAATTGGGTTGTGCATCTTTGTAAATTTGTTTTGATTTGTATACGCTATCACTGGGATTGCAAGATTTTGGCTCTTCTCAAATGGATACCACTGCGCAAGTTATCTCGCAAGAACCGGTGATTCCCGATACAATGGCTTGAAATGAGATATCTTTCACATAAAATTTGTTACTATTGACTTACGAAGCGTGGTTAGTTAATTCGTATCTAGTTATGAGCGTAGCGGCCACGATGGAGCTATATCTGCCTCTGAGCAAACGGCGTAATGGCCATGTATGTGCTGATGGAGCCATATATGGCCATTGAGTAAGGTGTCCGATGAATACGACGGCAATAAAGATTCTCTGATCATTACGTATTGGTTAGCCTCCAAAGATCTTGGTGACTATATGTTATTCCTCTCGCCTTTTTAGATACTGTTGCCCCCTATGTTATCTTACATGTGCTGAGTTTTGTACAATATCTGACCTTTAGTGCAAGAACGTACATCGTCGCTGTCCCTTAAAATGTCTAGGGGTACTCTCGATGTCGTTATAGCGGATGATGTGACACATTGACCCTCCAAATGCTCGTTCGAGTGACACTGAAAGTTTCAACATCACGCATTTTTTGACTAAGATTTCGTGCGCTGAGTTCACCGTCCGCTCAATCTGCGCATAAAATGGCATCACGTATACTCTTTGACACCTTTAGAGGCAGCGATGATGTAGTATTATGTAATACTACATCATCGCTGCCTCTAGGATACTCTTGAGTATAATACGTGGTATACCATGTCGTACATATAGTGCAAAGTTGTTCCGCTCTTGTCACGCATGTCGAAATGGACCTAGCAAATCAGATGCGATCTGATCAGATTGACAAGCTGTATCTCAGGACCTGCGTCATTGTGTGCATAAGAGGCGCTCAAAAATGTTGCATTTTAGTAAGAAACGACAAACGAGGATTGTTGATCGACACTATAGAATCTGTTGCTTTGCTCTTGGGATATCTTAATGGTGAGTTATTAAACTCACTTTTGTCATTCAGACGAGACGTTCTATATTCTTTCTCTATGTCGCTCTTTGCAAGCAAATATCTACAACATTCTTTCTTTTCCTGATAAAGTTCTAAGCTAGTCTTCATTCAGATGCTATCCAGGTGATGTCTACATCCGGTTGGTCCTCCACCGCAACCATCGTCCCATGTTGTCGCTCCTGGTAGTGATTATTGCACAGATTTTCTGTGCGCTCATATGCTTGACGCATGCAACCTTCGACCGCACATCGTTTGCCTGTATTGCACGAAAAATATAAGTCTTAAATGCTTTAATGTACACATTTTGAGAAGTCCATACCTCCACCGTGTGCCCAGCATAAAGCATTGGAAATGGCGATCTTTTCGCAAGAATCAACCTTGCACTTGGTACCACCGCCATGGGACCAGCAGAAACCGCGCGACTTGGCGCGGTTGATACAGCCAGGAACCTTGCATTCAGTCGAGCCACCTAATATCGCATCAAATTGTGTAAACATTGACATTGACATTCAAATAGCAGCTTCATAAACCCAGCGTACCATGTTTCCAGCAACGACCTTGATGTTTTGCTCTACTTGTACAGCCGGAAGTGAGACATCGTTTACCGCCCTATTCATATAAAAAGAAGAATTAGTAACTTCAAAATAACGCTGTAACATACATGGTACCTACCCCATGTCGGACACAAAGCCCTTGGTCTACTACGTATTGCTCACAGCCTTCGTGTTTGCAGACGCGACTGGGTGGTCTTCGTGCTCGGCGTTTTCCATCAGCAATTTGATTCGACCCCAGGCGGCTGATACGCGCCACTCCAGTCTCTTCCACATTTGTCGCAAGTACCTTTTCAATCGAATCTTCTATTCTTTTGCTTCTGGCAATGAAGTCAGCTTGTAGGCGTTCATGAGTGAAATCCCACTCGTCTAGAAAAAAGTTGATGGACCATAAAAAGCTGAGCCATGATAATTATATCATCGTCAAAAAACAACTGAAAATGCTTACGAGCAGCCGTTGACGCTGCTTGGTCACCTAATATAAAGCTTAGGGAAGCCTTACTAAAGCCGTTCTCGTCCTGCGTTGGTGCTTGCACGTAGCAATTTGTCCGTTGAAGTTTTTGCCCTGTACTATCGACCAATCCAGTGGATTCAAAAAGTGACTGGGTTAATATTTGCGCCGATGCGTATACGCTGCTTTGGGCGCCTGCAACACCAACGTTACTGAGCGTGCTCCAATTCTCTTGAGTCACTATCCTCTGCTGTTTTGTCGCGCTACTAGACTCGCGCTTGAGACCACGAGAAGTCGCTGCCATTTCTGCCTTCTGTTCATCCATTGCTCTTGCCATTTGGCCATAATCTTCACGGTCCATGTGTACACTGACTCCTGACAGCTGCGACTGAAGTATGAAGAGTCGACGATGATGTACAAAGCGCTTTGTGTAAAGATTTCAAACGTAGTGAGTCACGTCACCAGACGTTGCTACCACCAGCTGGACAATCAAACCCCAAATCTCTCAAGCCCTCAACTTCCGCTCTTGCCTGCGGCTAAAAAAGTAAAAGTAGTGTATTCGAATCTTCTTGACCCCTGCAGAGACTTCGTTATGCACGTCGAGACGTTGTCTTTCGCGTGAGTCTCTACCCCTTTTCTTTGTAAAAGCTTGAAGAACTTTTACGTCGTCAAAGAGCACGCGACGGAACGAAATGAAACTCTTTGGTCGACAGTCCGCCCTTGACTTTTTGTGGAGGCACAAAAATGCTTTCTTTTGTTCCTACGTTCACAATGCACCGCGTTGTTTAGACTCTTGTCGGCTAGAAATTTTATGTCCTTGAAAGTCTTTCGTGCGACAATAAAGGTATATTGCACACAATTGCCAGACTCAGGATACGAAGACTAAGCCAAGTTTAAAAGCGCCGACCAACAAAAGTTTATGACCTTAGACGACACAGCGATGGTACCGTATGGCTGGGATTACAAATTGAAGATGAAACCTCAAGCGATTGAGCTTGTCAAATGGACTGCTGTGCAAAGCAGGGCTAGCCACCCAAAACTTCAAATGACTTGCAGTGTTACATCCAGCTGCTCCTGTCGCTTGATCGTACTGTAGCAGACGGCGGGACTGGTGTAACGTAACGCAACACGTCACGAGCCAACAACACGACGTGTAGTGTAAACATACAGTATAACGTGTAGGCTTTGAAGGGGTTTTTCTCATGTATGTAATCCATTTGTTTAGGTTTAGCTTTCATTTTGAAAGATACGTGACTAATAAGGTGACATCATTAAACGTATATGCATGTATTGACGTGCACAGTAAGTATCGCAACAAATGGGATCAAATATCCTTGTATCAATGATTAATGCACATAAATCATTTTCTCAGCACCCTACCAACACTTAGTCTAGTCTTTGGCCTTTCCTCAATTTATTGTTTTTTTCACATTTCAGCTGGTGATGTTGTCGTCAAACGGCATTTGAGACACATGACTCTTTTCAGGAAGTATAGATATCAGTACACGTGATCGTCTTTGTTGTTGCGACCATATGATGATTTCATCTACCTTTTTGAGAATCATGTACTGCAGTGAGACTAGAACTTGGTATGCACACCTCAGTCCAAAAGCAGATATATTCTATCTTTGTATGCACTTTGAGCCTACAGCAAATTCCCACGATACTATGCAGCAGAAACTGTTTTCATAATACGTATCTGATAAGATATTGTCAAAAGTGCTTAGCAATAAAATTTCAGACGCGTTACAAACTTTTGTATGAATTGCAGCCTTCGGGGGGCGATGGCTGAGATTACCACATGGAGGCACTATGTGTAATCATGCCAGATTAGCGTATTAATTAAGCCACCATCTGTATTTGAAGGCGTGATAGCCGCATTACATACTTTATTCAGCAGAAATTATTACTAACAAAGTTGTCGAATCCAGGAATGATGTATTTACGAACAGGTAAGACGAAGCAGACCTCGTTGTCGTAAACAATCAAGTAAAATACAGATTAAAAAGCTAAATCGGGTCTAAAAAGATTATGGAAGTTATTTTGACACTCACATTGTAGAAAATACAGCTTGGTAACATGTTTTGCGTCTGAGGTCACACGTAATACTAAAGTAAGTGCGCCTTTCTTCCCACGCACTCGAACGCCCGTCAACCATGAAAGGGTGGATACCGCTTGACTATATCGCTGGAATGGCGCAAGCTTACTAAAAACTATTACGCTGGTTTCATGACCACAAGATCAAAGTGTAATTAATACTTACGATTGTGCACGATTTCTAAAGACTGAGAGTATAAAGTCTTCCATTCGTAAAATGTCTTTTTTTACAATAAATACTAGATGTGACACCGCTAGTGGCTTGACGTCTTTCGAATGCCTTTCATCCCCAAAATCAAGCTACTTTTTGGCACTGAGCAGCAACGGCGACTTTGTAAACAGTCTCGTTCTGCGTAACCAATCACGACAAATTGCTGAAGCTAAACAAATTGCTTTTTGATGCCCATACAGGCGAAACATAGTAATAAATTTGAAGCCCATCATCCATGATAAACGCAGAATATAAGCTCAAACGGACGCGGATCAAGTACTTTACACGGTTGGTATAAATTTAACTACCACATTCACCGACAAGCTGTCCACCCATTTAGTGAAGTAAAAGGGTCAGCTCATCGACGATACTCGAGAAAGATGAGTAATAATCTTGAGGCTAGTAAGATTGTTGCACACCTCGAATAATAACATGTGACGTGTAGTTAATTGTACGTACACATTTTACTTCTATGCAATTGTGCAGAACACCGAGTGGTACTGATGAAGACGATGAGAAATTGCAAAGAAGAGATCTTAGAGACGCGTGAGTTCTTAATCTTACATCACGCAGTGCATCATAGCTAGAGAGATCTGGCGTAAAATTTGTAACACTTGCAGAAGAGAGCTAGAGCGTCGAAACGCCTCCTCCTCAACGAAAGTCCCCGCCGTATATCTTCAGCTGAGAGCGAAGGTGTCCGATCACGATTTGATAGGTCGTTCTTATCAGAATACACCTTGACTTGCACGCAGAGTGTGACGTTAGATTGTCGATGCGCCTCTCTCGGAGACTCGCTGAGCCACGTGATGAGTGGTTGGGAGAGAATCCTGACGCGAATACTCTCCAGAACAAGCGCTAGCTCTTCACCAACATATTAACAATGACATGAAGTAGTCCTGGGGAGGGGCGGCGGAAAAATTGCTCTCATAGCTGTAAAGTGATTTATGAATGCCCGAATCCCGCTCTTTCGTACCCGGAACGGCCATACATGGCATTTGTCACGCTCCAGCCTTCGCTATATCTTATGCTTTACTCAAAGTATATTCCGATGGATACGAACGCGTCAATAAATTCTGGTAAACTCCGGCCCGACATATAGTGGGTAGGCGTGGTTTTGCACACAGATTTACGTGTCCCGGGCTTTATCCCTTGTCTCATGTGTTAGTACTTTTGGCCTGCGCGTGGCTCCGGTAGATTAAGTGTAAATTTCAGTCTTTGTCTTTCAAAAGACGTGTCCGGTTATATCGGCATTGTGGTCTTCGTGGGCCGTCTAAGCTGGATGGTCCTTCTCACTGCTATTAGCAATGCTTTGATGAGAAGAACCACAGCTAAGCTGTACCCCTACAGAGGTTTTCGTCAGCATATCTTGCTGTTGGTCATTCTGATCGATCAAGAGTCGTATGTTAGAGCAAAAATTCGGTCATTGATGTTCAAGTGCTGGGCGCCAAATCAGATATATATATTTATGCCGATCCTTTAGAAACACCACGATAAGACTTTGGTCTTGGTGGAAATGAGACTGTCGATCCGATTTAGCTTGCTTATATATTTATATCAGTTTATCACACTTCATATCAAAACCACCATGCAAATTTACACCACGAGCCGAGTGCGCGACGCTACGGCTCAAAGCCATGAAGTGCATGGGACATTGTCTCGCGACGCAATATTTGATCCCGAAAGTCAGATTAACTCTTCAAAACGCAATCTCGACCCGGGGGCAACACGCGTGATGAGCCATTTGTTTTCACGTCGTGGTATCCCTTCGAAAATTGATCAAGATGGTTTATAGAACCGTTGCGAATAGCCGTCTCACACTTCGCGCTCAGTGCTCTACGAGTGTCCCCGATCACGGACTCACAAATGACGGATGAAAAGTTTCCTCCGGCGCCAAGCGTACTATTTTGTTGGAAATGCGGTCTTGCATCTATTTGTACATATCTCGAATGGTTAGTGCCTTCAGCTCAAGAAGCGGTTTGTCGGGATAGTGATGGAGGACTTACAGCCTCCAAGACTATCCCCGTCTCCACTTCCACGGGTTAGTATGATGGTATATCAACTTGTTAAGCTTTCATGCTCCACACGATGAGCGTGCAATACGGTGGTTCTGACCCATCAGTACTGCTACATCTTGGCAACGTTAAATAGCTTCCTGTTCTGATTACTGTGCTTGCGACTTACATCTGCTCGCTTTAAATGGTCCTTGCAGCGGGGCTGCCGTAGCTCTTTGCTCAGAGGAAGCTAAGCTAAGCTAAGGTCACCCACCTTACGTTCTTTACAAGAACCAGTACGAGTGTAGCGGATCGCAACCCGCTACCTTCAAGTACTAAAACCTTAACCAAGGTAAGACGTTCATTCGTTCAAAATTGAAATCGTATTTACTTGTTTAAAATGCGGCAGAGCCGCCTATATCTGAAACCTAAGGCTTTCCTCATTAATATGTAATACCTTATTAATATAGTAAAACTTATATAGTATGCATTACAACTGGCAATCTTGCCTCGTAATGGCTTCTTGTTACCGTGTAGCCACACCATAATGTGATTGCATCACTTGTGTAATTCACACACATACGGCCACACCGTCTTGTGTGACACGCCCTTTCATACAAGGGTACGTGTAACTCCGTTACAATCTGGGTACATGGAACCCCGCTACATGGAACCCCGCTACAGCCCTGATACAAGCGTCCGCGACACATAGTCACTCTTACACTTACCTTTAGCATGAGAGACTCGAGTTTACAGCTGCATTCAAATGTCCAATCAGAGGTTCGTTGTAGAAATCACGACTACAACTGCTCACTCCTTTCTAAGCAAATTTGTACTCTGGAGACCGCAATATGTGCTCGTCTAGATTTGTCTCATTTTGCCGCTTTTGCCTTTCGAGCTACTTGGCTGTATCTTTGCTGGACGAATCCGAGAGTTCTATTCTCTGAACCACCTTCGTGCCCGCGCCTAAACGATACTACCTCATTAATGAGGAGCCTTGGTGAGGTGACCCACCAAAATTAGTGTCCGCCAAAAGATTTTATCTTTCAGCCAATGAATGGATCATCGTGATCAAGGCACGCCATTTTTAGGAAACAATCAAACCTCAAGCTCAGGTCCAGGAAGAGACGATCTTCATCATTGTCAAAGTCAGCATCTCACAGGCAGCTTCACCAACATCCGACATATCTTCTAGTGGCTTTGTTACAAGACACACATACCAATTCCGTGTTTGGCATCAGCAAAAACGTCGCGTACTGCCTACTGTTTTTAAAGTACGTGATTACACGACGACCAGGAATCCATCAAAATTTTACACAGCGTCATGAAGCGGGGAAGCTGGCGTCAAAACAACTCACCCTGGGCTGTAAGCCTCACCTCGTTTGATGATAGCCATTCCTCTCAGGACTAGACGTCACGATCACAATCTCTACAGTAACAACTAATTATTGGGCCTCTTGCGCCAAGTGAAACTTGACACTTTTGTGGGAGGGGCTCTTTGTCCGCTCTTGTGCCAGAGACCGACCCTTCGTACATTTTAGCCAATGTAAAAGGGACACGCAAGGCGAATCTGTTTAGAACTCCCGCAAACAACACACTCGCGGGTACCACAGAGATACTGAGATCCATCGACTTTGCACTCGTAAAACTTACATAACCAGCACCCTGTCCTGCCCTCACAGTACAGAACTTGTCTCCCGCATTACATGCGACGACCACACCTGTACCGGGTTTACACGTACCCTGGTAACAGGGGGGGGGG